ATATGATAGTTATTTTATAAATTCATTTTGAAAAGAGAGATAAACACATAAAAAGGAGAAAGAAACAGGAAAGAGAAAATTAAAAAACAATTGAGGCAAGGTGAAAAATCTTTTTATCACTTTTGGTGGTTCCGGATGTAATTCTCTCTCTTTTTTATATGATCATTTCTCTCTTCAAAGTGGATTCATGGAGTAACTACTCGTATATGTCACTAGTTACTCATTTGAGTATTATAAAATTTCTTATAAAATGAGTATAAAGTTACTCCTTTTTGTTTTCCTATTTATAATTAATTAGAAGCTTTTAGAGTAAATAATAAATTAGTACCTCTAGTTTCAAGAAATAAATTAATTAGTCCTCTTTATTTTAAAAATTATTATTTAATTCTTTAATTAGTATTGAGAATGCTTAATTTAATATTATTTTTATTTCATAAAATCTCTTATTTTCTTGTCAATCTTTTTATATTTTTTCATATTCTTTTCTATTTCTTAAAAAAAAAAAAAAAGAACAAAAAAGACTAAATTATAAGTAGATTTCAAAATATAAGGACTAAATAATTAGTTCTTAAAAGTATGGGAACTAATTAATTTTTTTCTCAAAATGAAAAGGACTAATTTATAATTTACTCAAGCTTTTATGACAAATCTTCATTATATGGATAGTATCAATATTATCACCAAATAACTTTTTGTATGGATATTATTATCAAACTTTCAGAATTTTTAATTAAAGATTTTTATTCTTTTTAAAGCTTTTTTTTTCTATATTTCATTCGATAATTTTTAGTGGAATAATTATTAAAAAAATAAATATAAAATTGATAATAACTCAATAAATTGATCTGTATATTTAATGTTTGCCAAACCTTTTATTAATGAGTCGAGCTTAATTAAAAACAAAACAAAACAAAAATTAGTAACCCATAAGAATTCTTGCAAAGAAGCTACACTTAAATAAAACTATATTTTTAATTTCACAAGGATAAAGTATATCTTAATTTCTTAAGGAGATTTTTATTTCAATAGAATGACCAAGATTTATTAGGTAGGTTTCTTTTTTTTTTTTTTTTTTTTTTTGTCAATAAAGGGTATATTCGGGTAAGTTTGCTTGTCAATCTATACTTTTTTCTAAAGAATTTTAAAAACACACCTCCGATCATATCATATTCGGATAAATTTTTCGAATACTAGCTCGAAGATTTAAACCTAAAAAACCAATGAAGAGCATATATTTTTAACTATACCATAAAATATATACAAAGTGGGTAATTAACATATATAAAGATCAATTAGAATCATTCATAGCAAGTACAATTCCATGATTCCTAATTAATATCACTAATTAGTAATATTGCATTGTTTCCATAAAAGAAAGGAGATGAAAAGTTACATGTGAAATTAATTTTCTTTCAATAAGTATGTGTATGTCATAAGCTATGAATTCATTGGGAGTCAATACTAGTTATGTGTCACCAATCAGTGATCAAGAAATCAATATATTCCAGAGAGAGAGAGAGGTCGTTAAATAACCAACCACATTGTCATGTCTAAGGGGTGGTGGCCCTCCATCCGTCCCAAGATTTGTGTTTAGCTCTTCTCATTAATATTTTCTCTGACCAAGTTGGAACCCTACCTAGTGATTGCATCTGTGCTCAATTTGCTTTCTGCAATCAATCAGATCAGGAAATTATTAGTTCTTAATAATTGTGCTTCAAAATATGAACCATACAAGTTTCAACAGTAATGCTGTTTGCACCAAAGGAACGTCCAACATGACTAGAAATTAGAGGGTATAGCTAGCTAAGCTAATTAGCATGTAATCAACTTAATTAAGTACTGGTGCTGAACCTTGATTTACCTCATGTCATGGTTATTTGTTAGGTTAGATTTAAGGAAAATGCTTGGTGACATACACTATTTTCAAAAATAAAAAGGGTTTAGAGGTAAATTTGAAAAGTGAAAATGTTAAATGACATAATACTCATTGAAATAAAATATCATTCCTTGTATTCCATTAAGAAAATATTACCCTTATAAAATTATGATGATTTTTTTTTTACACCACGGTGTCATATAGCACTACTCCTAAAAATTAGGACAGCCCTATTGCTCTTTTGGCTCAAAACATCCAGTGAATATATGCATGTTGATGAGAATGATGTACAAATAACAGGCCTAGTTGGGTAGCTATTTAGGGTCGGCAAAGCCCACCATTAATTTCAGATTTATTCTTCATTAATTAAATACCATTGGTGCAGTACTACTCCCTGTATATTCAATTTTTCCCATCATCTTCCTAACAAAATAAATTTAAACAATATGATAGAACTTTCAAATTGAATTTCAAAGTCAAACTGTGCTAAGATGCCTTTGGGATTAGTTTGATACAAGTTCGAAATTAATGTGTTAATAAATCCGGTTATTATCTCTAGCACCAATAATAATACATATGGGATTCTTCTCTTCTTCTTTTTTTCTTTAATAAAATTAAATATATTAATAATCTTATTACCAAACTATATTCTAACAAATAGTGTAGTTTTCAATTTTGGATAAATTGTTCAAAGAAAACTAATCGTATGCTAAATATCATTTCTTTAACTATCCAATTAGTTTCTGTTTAAAGAACATTCAATATTGTATCCAAAAAAAAAAAACATGTAATACAATTTATTTCAACCTATTCTTTCTCCTCGTGTTACACGTACTTTTGTCGTTCTTGAATCAATATGTCAAGTTTTGCTAACTTAAGACAAGAAAAAAGTAATATTGGTACAATTATGTTTAATTTTAAAGGAGCATTTCCTTCATCTTTTACCTCACAGTTAATCACGTTTGTACGATAAGGAACTTTCCGCCTTTTATTAATTTCTTTGGAATGATCTTCAAATTAAATTGACACCCTACCAATTGGATGATTAGTACTTCGTTCGGGCGTGGTGCTGCCACCGATTCATGCATTTCATCAGATCCTTCGTAAGTGCAGATAATATTAACAACAACAAAAATTCTTGCTACCAACTAATTGTTAATTAATTAATCCTAATTTTATTATATTTCTGTCATTTTAATCATGGGGATGTTTTTTATCCATATATAACTTTCATGCACAAAAGTTAAATCATATTCTAATTCTTTGGTAAATTATTCATATATCCCATTTGTACACAAATATTCATGAGAAGATTCACTGATCAACAAAATCAATACCTTGTTTAAGGATAATAGTATTCATCTCTATCTCTCTTTGGATTTCAATTAAAATGATAATATAGAGAATAAATTCACTTATAAGTAAAATCAATATCTTATTCAATGATATATAGTTTTTCTCGTTTTAATGGATGTAAAGGATCGAATTTTTTATTTTATATCATTTTTCATTGTGAAGAAATTTATAGGATAATATAGTGATACCAAGCCATCAAATTTATATACAAAGTAATATTGTCATCCTCCTCGTGATGTTAGCTGTAACATTTTACAGTTAATGTACGTAATTTGATCACAATTATATACTAGCAGGTTAATTGATTTTCTCAACCATGAAGAAATGTAGTTTAGCGAATATTCAATTCTCATTATCCTTGAATAATTAGTTATAATTATTTTTTAATGATATCTGATTGGAGTTCATTTGATTTAAGAGAGAGTCTAGTGATTAACTAAAAACTAAACATGTATTAGAGATGATTTAACCTAAAAAATAATAAATTTAATCTTGATTAATACAAAAATCAATTTGAAGATACCCATTATATATATATATATATTTGATTTTCTTATGATGGACTTTTTAAATAGAAATTCAGATACTATGAGTACATCCCATAGAAATTCGAGGCACATCATAATTACCCAAATCAAATGCACATGAATGGAAATCTCAGATTTTTACTTCAATGTCTAATTGTCACTTTTATCTGACCTCTGCCCTACTTCTCCATGATTACATCTTTGCCTCGCTGTGCATTGTGGAGGACATCTAGGTTACAATTCACACTCCACACAAAGCCCAAGCTGGTCCTTGGTCCAACCCATTGCCAACCCACACAATTATATGACCACTTCCATATAGCTAACTTCAATATGAAAATCAGTAACCTTCTAGATTAATGACTCTAATTAGTTAATTACCTGATCCTAATTGTGACTAATTTAGGACTTAATTCGTCAAAGAAGTGAAGCCCTTTAAGGATCTTAACTTGTTTTTACTTGTCCATACCCAATAAGATCTTCAAGTCTCTCTTATGAGTGACGTACATACATCTCTATTTTATTTTTAATTTAGAAAAACAAAGATCATTCATATATGGCTTTGAAGCATAGGTAAAGCCCTCTGTGCTATATATATATATACATATATATTCTATTTTGGTTAGTGTTAATTAAAAAATATTTGAACTAGCTACTTTTTACCGTACCACCCTTGCTCATACATATTGAAGTTGTAATTGTATGAACAAAAGGAATATATATAGCATACCACCATCTCTCTCACAGTCTCTCTCTCTCTCTCGCTCTCATTCTCTCTTTCTCTCTCACATTCATAGTTGAATGCTGATTTTGCCCCGTAGTTCTTTGCTCATCTTCCGGTTTAACCACCATTGAACAACAAAACACAACACACAGATTTTCAAAAACAAAACCTATTCTCATAAGTGGATAAGTCCTCTTAATCCACTCCAATATTTAAGGAATTCGCTCACAAGGCCTAATCTCTCTTTAGATAAGAGAGAAATTTATCACTAAATCTCGGCTTAATCTTTCAACCAGTCCCCCCACTCACTCCTCTCCTAAATCAACAAGCAATTACACGTTTTTTTTTTTTTTTTTGCCTAATGGGTTCTCTTCAGTTTTGCTCTTTCTCTTGAACACAACAACCAAACCAGCTTTGACTCATAATAGTTGTAGCTAATACAGTTAATTAGTGTGTTGACAAGCCTTTTTTTTTTTTAAACCACCCTTTTATCTTATAATCAGTTCTTGCACTGTTCATGGATTCCTTGAGGGAAATAGAAGGCAAACAAGTTCATGATCCTCTCTCTGAGAAAAATATGAATAAAACTTCACGTTGTGTATTTGTCCCTGGTCCAGTTATTGTTGGTGCTGGTCCTTCAGGCCTAGCCGTGGCAGCTTGTCTCAAAGAAAAAGGTTTCTCAAGTATGTTACTAGAGAGATCTAGTTGTATAGCATCGTTGTGGCAGTTAAAGACTTATGATCGCCTAAGCCTTCATTTACCAAAACAATTCTGCGAGCTTCCTCTCATGGGCTTCCCTAGTGACTTTCCAACTTACCCTACTAAGCAACAATTTATTCATTATTTAGAGTCGTATGCAGACAGGTTTGAGATTAGGCCACAGTTCAATGAGACTGTGTCACATGCCGAATATGATAAAGTTATTGGGTTTTGGCGCGTGAAGACTATTGGGAAAAAGTCAGAGAAGACCGAGTACGTGTGCCGGTGGTTGGTGGTGGCGACCGGAGAGAATGCGGAGGCGGTGGTGCCACAGATTGATGGAATGGGAGATTTTGGAGCGGTTATAAGGCATACAAGTTCTTACAAAAGTGGAAAGGATTTTAGAGGGAAGAACGTTTTGGTGGTAGGGTGTGGGAATTCTGGAATGGAAGTTTGTTTGGATCTCTGCAATCATAGCGCCAAGCCTTCACTTGTTGTCAGAGATACAGTAAGTACTACTGATCTTAATTAGCCATCTCCTCTCTCTCTTTCTTAAAACCTTATAGCAAAATAACCTTAACAGGTTGATTTCTTAAGCCTTTGTTCAGTTCAAATCCAAATGTTTTGATGAGGAAAAAAGACTAGTTTTCTCCTTGTAACCTTTTGACAATTTCAAATCTACAGTTTTGATGAAGAAAAAGGTTAGTTTTGGTGATTGAACAATAAGATGCACGTTTTTTCATATTTCTGAAAATTCAATATGAATATTCAAATCCCTGCAGGTTTCGTTTTATTTTATCCTTTTCGGTCCTTTTTTTCCATCAAAAAATCAAACATAAATAAAGAATGGTAAATGTTTGCAAAATGTTCTGTTTTTTATTTATAAAATAAAACTTATTTCAAACTTTTGCTATCTTGGCATGTATGATGTATTTCAGGCTCATTGCTTTCATGGGAGTTTTATAACAATTTCCAACTGTTCAAGTGTGCATAGTGACTTCAAGTTCCAACAGCTTTCTTCTTTTTTAACATGATTAAAAAAAAATTAAGATGTGTAATTTTAAATACAAAAAAATAAAAATAAAAAATCCTTGATCTTTCACTTTCTTGGGATTCCCAAGCATGCGCAACATTGGTCAGAATCGTAGGATCTTACATATATTGTCATAATCATAAATCTCCCTTTTTATGTTCCTGTGATTAATTTTTCTCTGTAAAGACCTCTAGGCATATTCAGTTATGGCCTGGAATGAATTAGCCCATATTTACACCACTAGGGCAACTAGAGGGGGCTCACCAAAATCAACTCTGGCTCTTTTTTAGTCATCCTTTACGCTTTTTGAGTTATGGTTGTAGTAGGAGTAATTTTTATTTTCAATTTCTTTTTTAATTTTTTGTGGGATGGTTTTTGTTTTGAATGAAGGTGCATGTTCTACCTCGAGAGATGCTAGGCAAATCAACTTTCGGGTTGTCCATGTGGTTGCTCAAGTGGCTGCCCATGCGCCTTGTGGATCGGTTCCTGCTGATAGTGTCGAGGCTAATGCTTGGTGATACGGCACGACTTGGATTGGACCGGCCGGAATTGGGTCCCCTTGAACTCAAGAACTTGTCCGGGAAGACCCCAGTATTAGATGTTGGAACACTGGCCAAGATCAAAAGTGGTGACATTAAGGTACTTTCCTAATTATATGACTTGTGTATATCACATCACTTTTCACTTTGCACTCTCTGGCATTTGAAATGGATGCTACTGTTCTAAACAATCGTACCATTTGCTTTTCTTGATTTCTTAGGTTGTGTCGCATAATTCCAGCCCCACTTTTTTTTTTTTTTTTCTAGATATTCCCCATTTGTTTAGTGACTCTGGCTAAAAAAATTCTATTCTTGCTGTAAAATTCCTGAATTTTCCTCTGTTGTTTTAGGTATGTCCAGGAATTAAGAAGCTAAAACGTCATACCGTAGAGTTTCTTGATGGGAAAACGGAGAAATTTGATGCTATTATTTTAGCGACAGGCTACAAAAGTAATGTGCCATCTTGGCTAAAGGTAACTTTTTATTTTCTCTTTATCTTTTGTTCTTCATTTCCATTCTCATCTAAGTTTCTTGATTCTTAAGGATATGTTATTTTTGCCCCAAGTGGATGATCAAAAGGCTAAAGGAAAAGAGAATATGGGCTTTATTTATTTGTTGGTTTTGAATTGTCAGGAAGGAGACATGTTCTCTGAGAAAGATGGGTTTCCTAAAAGACCATTTCCAAATGGATGGAAAGGGGAGTGTGGGCTATATGCAGTGGGGTTCACTAAACGTGGAATATTAGGAGCTTCAATGGATGCTAAAAGAATAGCTGAAGACATTGAACGGTGTAGGGATGAAGAAGCTGCACCGTATGATCGTCGATCACTACTTTTGAGTTAGATTTACAGAGAACGTTGATTGAGGGATTATATATAGCCTGTGAGAAGTTTTTTTGGATGGCATATGCCAATAGACACAATGCTGATGGTGCCAAAGTTGATGACCTATATCGGAAAAAGGAAGAACAGAAAAGAAAAGGTTACATGGGGAAAGAGAGTTCTGCAAGAGAACCCTTATCTTTTCAAGATGACACCAACCAAACTAAGCATTGGAGTAAGGAGGAATCTGAGGGTGAAAGAAGGTTGTTGTAGTTGTGTTTTTTTTTTTTTTTTTTTGGGGGGGGTGGGGGACCTCAGCTATATGATCATGTACAGCTTGTACAATACAATTTTTCTGAAATTAGGTATGACTTCTAGGGAGGAAAAAAAATGGAGGTAGATTGTTTGGCATTTAATTTGTTTGCATAGGAGATGTTATGATTTTGCTTTAATTTCCTTGGGGTGGGTTGGGGATGAGACTTTTTAACATTCTGAAGTTTTTTCTCTGATGTAGCCTTAATTTTGTATGCTTCATTTTTTTCTAATTAGGTTTTGTTTTGGGATGGATTAATGTATGTCATGATGACTTTTAAAAGGAGGAATTGATGACTTCGCTAATTAATGAAATCCTTACATATCATGACTCTCTGTCTCCCCATTTTCGAATTTTGAAATTCATATACTTTGTTTAATTTCCTCTTATGTTGTGACTTCTGGTAATCTTGATTTTCATTATGTAGCAAACTAGCAGGACCACTACGTACCTTTTTCATCGGAACTTAAATGTGTACATTCAGAAGTGCTCAGAATCCGATTAAAAGAAAGAAATGCCAGACCATTGATTAATATATATTCCCTCATTCTATTTCCCTACTTTCCACTACAGGCTGCTGTATAAACTTCAATGTCCAATACATGTGTACATTCAGAAGTTCTCAGAATCCTATTAAATGAAAGAAATTTCATACCATTAACAAATATTCCCTCATTTTATTTCCCTGTTTTCCAGTACAGACTGCTGTATTCAATGTCCATTTTGGCTTTCAAATAGTACGTACCACATAGAAATCTTTGTAAAAATGATGAGGAACTTTGTTAATCAATTCAAATTAATTAACCTCAAATTAGCTCTCAAATATTATTGATTCTCAATGTAGTCCTCGAACAAAAAAGTTCTCTCTAGAATTTTTCAAGGAAATTATGTATCCACGTAGCTAGTAATTTACATAAGCCAATTAGCTCTTTTTGCAAAGTAATGTTCGAAGCATGCAGCATGAAAGATTATGACCTATCTTTTTTTTCAGAGAAGTAAAGCTTGAAATAGGCAAGCAGATGTGATATTCTCGAAGAACCTTCTTAATGATCTAAAGCAACATGGATGTTCTTGATAGAAATACAAGTAAAAAGCTAGGTAGCGCAGTCATCAGTTTTCATCAACCTGAAAAGTTAAAATGGATGTTTGTGATATATAACCAATCAGGTGGAAGTGAAGGACCTTTGACCCACAGTAAAAAGTGAAATTATCTGAAGAAAAAAGTTGTAAGCATAGATTTCTTGACTTAAGCTACATGTCATAAGATATGGCTTTAGTCACTACAATATATGTCTGTCTCTCTATGTCTGATAAGTCTCAACAGATTATGACAGCTGCTATTGTTACTAATTATTTTGTTAGGTAGACTGGTTGTAATATTTATGCTTATGGGAGACATTAATTGAGCAAGACACAGACTTATTAATCTGACTTATAAAAACCGGGGATAGTCTAATTATCTAGCTACCCCTTCTTCATTATTATTATTATTATTATTTAAAGGGAGAGCCCTAGAGCCTGAAAATCAACTATTACGAAAAAGCTATTTTCTAGATGTACTCATGAAGGATTTTGGCACAGTCACCAGGTGCATAAGAAAGATAAGTGATACCGAGGAACAAGGAAAAAACATATGATGTTAGCCTATCTGCCAATCTATTTGCTTCTTTATAAATATTACTAAGTTGAATATGCCAGTCTTTGTCCAAAATTGCCTTAATCGTGATAACAAGAGAACCATAAGTGTCCATCCTCCTTATGTGCGACTGAATTACTTGTATAACCAACAATGAATCTCTCCGAGCCAACATTTGACTATATCCCATGTTCCAAGCCATCTCAAAATCAATAAAGATTTTTCATAACTCAGCATAAAGAATAGAACACAACCCAATATTGTTAAAAAAAATCATTTAACTAGCAATCATTGGCATCCCTAAGAACCCCACTCGATGTAGAGTTTCTTGAAGACATTCAAAATGCCTTTTGATCTCGCTCCACAGTATCGTGAAGAATTATGCATCCTATGAAGGTGCGGAATAAAATAAAAATTTCTTCAATCTAAAGAGCCCAAGATCATACCGTTGAATCAACTAACCATATATTTGTGAATTAAAATGATAAATACGGAATTTACCTCTAGTAGCACGGATATAAACCTTTGCAAAAAAGAGTAGTCCAAGTGTCCAGACCTCTATCGATAATACACGCAGGTCTAAGTACCCACAAAAGAAGCAATTAAAATTGGTAAAGTGCTATCTCTATCTTTTTTTACTTGTCTAGCATTTCCTATAGAAATCTAATTAGGGTAATATTTATGACAACCCAAAGAGAGAGAAGAAAGGTGGCGTGCTTGGGTTAGGGAGAAAACAATTTTCTCCTAGGTTTTATTTTGAGTCGCGTGCCTTAGCTAATTTTGCTCTACGCTGAATTTTTCCTCTCTAAAAATCTTTATGTCGAATTTTTCTTTCTTTCTTTCTTCTTCTATCTTTTGTTGTACCTCTCCTCTTATCTATAGGGGGAGAGTTTCCTTATCCTCCAAGGACAAGGAGAGGAGGCAAAAACTAGTTCTTATTAGACTTTTGGTTGTTGCTTTGTAATCCTCCGGGGATTAAGAGTTATTTAAAATATGGGCATTTAATCTTTATCTATAAAACATTCATCCTTATCCAATAAGGTTCATGTTTATCTTCTTACCAAAATATCTTTTAGACTTTTAATTAAACCTATTGCCCCAAAACCATTTTGGCCTAATTAATTAATTTGGACTATCTAAATAAATTAAGTTAGATAATTTTAGATGGCTCACATTAGAAAATAATTTTTTAAATTACCCTTAAACCTAAAATTAGGAAACTAATTTCCATTAGGTTATTTACTTTCAAATTTGGAACTAACTTCTTAATTAGTAAACTGATTTCTAGAATAACTTTCCATTTTAGAAAAAATTTTATTTTGAAAAATATTTTCCAAAATAGAAAAAAATTTATAATTGAAAACTTTTTTCAACATCTTTACTTCTCTTTAATCATGTGAATGCTTAAACTTATGCATGCGACTTAATATGCTCCTAGATATATTGGTAATGTATCAAAAATAAAAGACACATCTTTTATCTCTTGATACATAAGTCAAGATTGGCCTATAGCAAGACATTGTGACTATCCAATTCTCTAAGAGGATTAATTAATCCGTAATTACTTTTTACGAGCATGGTTACCATACAATTCAATCCTCATGTTAACTTATCATAGTGTGATCTCGAACTTGGTTATTAGTCTTGTTCGAACACGATCACATAAATTTTCTTCGATTCTCAAATGTCTTAGCTCTTAGAGTAAACCAACTACGTTCTTTTGGTGTACTCTTACCGTGGTCATAAATTTCTAAAGTAGACATTCATCGAAGTGCAATGTGATAACTCCTTTAGCGTAAAAGGAATGACATGTCTTATTTTAGTCATTCACCTACCTCTATTAGATTCCCGGTGTACCCAATAAATCACCCACATAAAGCTCTTTCGTTGGATCCATCGAAACAAGTGTCAAAGTACATAAATCCTCCAATGAGTTAATTGTGATGACCTCACGTCTAAGGACCGAGTTATACCCATCTCGTATGAGATTCTTATAAACTAAACCAAATGAGTTCTCATGACGAGTCAAAGCCAATAATATGTTCTCTAAGATAAATCACCTAAGTGCTTGCTTTGGCATCACCATGCTAATAGGTGTGAGATCCCCTACTATTGTCATATAGCATGAGCATAACACTCACGAGCCTAACCGCATATAATCAATATTCATTTTTAACCATGGTATAACTTGGGACATTCACTACCGGATAAATAGGATTTAGCGACGGGCAAACCCGTCGCTAAATCAAAAAAATCGTTGCTAAAACATTTTAGCAACGGTTTAGCGACGGTCAAGTAACCGTCACTAAAAACCTCATTGGTGTTTTTTAGCGATGGTTTAGACTTGTTGTAACATTAACGACGGTCTAAAACGTTGTTATTCCGTCGCTAAATGTCGATGTAAACAGTTATGACATTAGTGACGGTCTTATAAACCCTTGGTATGACCGTTGCTAAATTGTTGGCAATGGTCAATTTGGTAATCGGTGCGGACCGTTGGTAATATTTTATTTTTAGCGACGGTCTAGACCGTTTCTAAGACCGTCACTAATTAAAAAAATAAATTTATTTAAAATAATAATAAAATAAGGTCAAAGTAAAAATTTTGAAGTAGCAAAAATCTCATAAAATATTATAAACATAAATTTTTATTATTCAAAATGTATTAAAACGTCGCTAAACAATTACATTATTGTTAAATAAAAAAAAAGTACATCGATTGCGAGTTAATACAAGAAAACATAAAATCTAAAATAAGTTAATGTCTAGGATCGGTCGGAGGTCGGGTCGAGTCGTCCGGAGGCCGGGTCGAGTCGTTGTCGATCTCGGGAACGGCGAGATGAACTACCACCACGCTCAAAATGTCGTATGAACATCTCGTCGCATCCGTGACATCATCGTAAGCTCGCTCTCGACTATTGTTTCTCAACTTAATCGTGGTATCCAACAACGATGCCACTTGGCCACGTAGGTCGCTCATAGTACCCTCTAAGTTATGGATGTGCGTCGTGTTTGCGGATGTTTGCTCTTGAATTTTCTTCAACTGTGCCTCGTCAGTCGCATTGAATCCGAAAGTAGCGAGAAGATGAGCTCGCATTGACAATTGAATAATAGTGAGATGCATGTGAGCCGAGTCCGTACATCTTCTTCCTCCTACTATCTCCTTCACCAACGACTATTTGAAAGATGTCATTAATGTCGGATGCGGTCGCTTCGATCCCGTCCGACCGTAGGCTAGCAACCTCTTCCTCATTAATTAATCTTTGTACGAGTCTCTCGTATAATTATGAAACACGTCACATCAAATACGGTTGTCAAATAACG